TTATCACTGTCATTTAATTTCCCTCATTACTGCTCAGAAAAAAATACCTTTTCATATGTTGGCTTTTTGTAGTTTTTCTCTGAGGATTGTCTAACCATATATTTTTGCCAAATTTTCTACTAGATTCTTTTTTGATTTATATCAATTTTTTATAGATTTTGGATATGAATCCTTTTCCCTAACATTATGAAGTGCCTATTCCCAGTTTGTCATTTGTTGTTCAACTTCCTTTATGGTGTCATATGTGACTTAATTTTTAGGTAGTCAAATCTTTAACTTCTTAATTTCTGCCTTCTCTAGTCTGTCTTAATTAGAAAAGTCTTCTCAGTCCCATAATTATAAAAATGTTTTCTTCTGATAGTTTTTGGATTTTTGGTACCAGGGATCAAAGTTTTATCTTTTTTGAGAGACTTGCTCTGTTACGTTTGCATTTTCTCTTAGAAATTTAGTCAGCTTGTGGACTCAGGACCTTGCGCTTGCAAGACAGGCATGATGCCACTGAGCTAAATCCCCGTCCCCTCGTTACCAGTTTTTAAAAACATTTGTTGAGGGGCCAGGGATTTAGTTCAGTGGTTTCACCCCCTGCTGCACAAGCGCAAGGACCCGAATTCAATCCCCAGTACCAAAAAAACCCAAAACAAATAAAAAAATTTGTTGAGATTTTTTGTTTGGATTGCATTTTATTTATAGATTATCTGAATAGAGTGGGCGTCTGTCTTTGAAATACTGAGTCTATCATTTTTTGACCCTTTCCTATATCTCCTTAATCAGTTTTTTAGTTCTTTTTGCCTGTTGTAAAGTTTTATAGCTTTTTCCTACTATATCCTATACGTTTTTGTTGGATTTCTTCCTACTTTTTATTGCCATTGTGAGTAGGATCCACTTTTCTATTATCTTTCATTTCTGACCATCTTATTAATCTTAGTTTTGTTGATTTTCTTGGTATACTATTGCACCACCTGCAAAAACAATGAGGGTTTTCCTCTTTTTTTTCTGTCATTTAGCCATTTCTTTTTATTATCTTACTCAACTGTTTATAACCTCTAGGGCATCATTTTAGAATAGCCAAACTAGGAGGCATCTTTCTCTGATTTGTGTGTGTGTGTGTGTGTATGGTTTTGTTTTGTTTTGTTTTGTTTTACTTTGAGACAGGGTTTCACAAAGTTTCCTAGGCTGGGTTCAAACTTGTGATCATCCTCCCTCAGCCTCCCAGAGTGCTGGGATCACAGGCATGTACCACAACATGTGGTCCTTTTTTTTTTTTTTCTTAAATTCTTTTATTGGTACATTGTAGGTATACAACACAATTACATTTCTCATTGGGAATTGTACCTTTACATAATGCATCTTGGTTCTTATTTTTTCTCCATTCCTAGCCCTCCCTTCACCCCTCCACCCTTCCCTATTTACAAAGACTTTATTTCCATTTTTTCCATTTCTCATCATTTTTCCTTTCTCTTCTTTCCTTTGCCTTCTTTCCTTTCCCCTGCCCCTCCCACTACCCCTACCCCTTTGGACCTTTTCTTCCTATTTTGCATTATCGATTATTCATTCTAATCAGTGATACATTTTAGGTATACAATATAATGACATTCATCATTGGAAATTTGCGCCTTTACATAATCTCTCTTGGTTCTTATTTTTCACCCTTGCCCAGCCCTCCCTTCAACCCTCCATCCCTATTTACAAAGATTTTGTTCCTATTTTTCCATTTTCTCGTATTCCATTCCCTTCTATCCTTTCCCCTAGCCCTCCCACTTCCTTCCCCTTTGCCCCTTTTCTTCCTATTTCACATTACCTATTATACATTTTAGTCCTTATTACACTTTCAGTTTCTCACACCAGAGAAACTATTCGGTATTTACACATGTGTCCTATTTATTTCACTTAAGAGTATGGCCTCAATGTGCATCCATTTAGCTATAAATGTCTCTAATTTCTCTTTTTTTATGGCTGAGTAGTACTCCATTTTATAAAAAAAAAACCCACATTTTCTTTATCCAGTCTCCAGTTGATGGGCATTTGGGCTGTTTCCAAGTTTTAGCTATCACAAATAGTGCTGCTATGAACATTGGGTGCACGTATATCACTGTGGTATGATTCTTTTAATTCTTTGGGAAAGATCCCCAGCAGGGGAATAGCTGGGTCAATTGGGACGTCTAGCCCTAGTTCTCTGAGGTATCCCCATACTGATTTCCACAGTGGTTGCACCAGTCTACACTCCCACCAGCAGTGGAGCCAGGGTTCCTCTTTCCTCACAGCCCTGCCAGGATTTGTTATTGGTTGATTTCATGATAGCAGCCATTCTTTCTGGAGTGAGGTGGGGTCCTATATATTTTAAGTGCTTGCTGTAGATATTTGAGAGAAGAATTTTGTCAGATAAGTTTCTTCTGTTATTTGCTAGGGATTTTTTTTTATCAAAACTCAGTTGTATGAGGAAGGTCCCGAGTTTGATCCTCGGTACCAAAAAAACAAAACCAAACCTCAATGTTACAATGTATTATAGGCTTCCTTGATAGCTACTGAGCTAATCCTTTTTTCTTTTAACCTGTTAATGCAGTAAATTATTTTGAATTATTCTCCTGTTGTACGATCTTTGCTTTCTTGGGACAAAAACCACTGAGTCATATACTCTTTTCAGTACCCTTACTACTAAATTTGGTTTATTTAGAGTGTTTGTTTCTGACTGGCCTACATTTTTTTTTTTACTTATATTTCTCCTTACTAAATAGTTCATATACTTGGGAGCTAGGTTTATCTTGAAGATTTTATTACACTCATGAAACTGTGTTAGTCTAGTAGCTTTGAAAGGTGAAATTTTCACCATCTTTGTAATTTTAACCATCATAATCAAGGGCTGTTAATATCCTAGCCACTTTTCTCTGATCATGAGCAAATTACCAATTTCATCAAATGTCAGCTTTTTAAATGGTAAATGGAGATAAAATCTAAAATCTAACTTGCAGTATTGTTGTAAGGATTAAATAAGATACTGTTTGGCATTGCTGTCTCCTGTAAGGTAAATGCTCATCAATCTTATCCACTGTTCTCACTGGTGTTCCTTTAGGTAGATGACTGTAGTCACCTCAGTCATCCCAGCTGTTGCACTGTGTGGTTGTAAACTGTACACTAGAGAGAGGGGGCATAAAGATGGGCTAATGGTCCAGCCAGCACCGGCAGCCCCAGCTCCATGTGAAACTCTTCAGCAGGTCTGGATCTCCTGTGATCTAGAGCTTTTTCGTGAAACCGCAGGGCTGTGTCTCAGCAAACCCACCTGCAGGCAAAAGGTGCCACCTGTGTTGTACAGGCAGCCAGGGCAGGGACTCCATGTGCACCTTGACGTGGTTGCCTGTCTGGGATTTGTTCTCTTATTTTAGGAATGCTTCTTTATCATAGCTATTGAAGATTTTAACCTGAATGGGAAATAACTTTTTGAATTTTTAAATAATTTTTTGGTATAAGACTTTTGTTGAGATATTGGGACTCTGTTACTATAGCAAAACCTAACCTGTACCAACTGACACAGTGTAACTCGTCCCCATTTTTAGTTACCATTCTGCAGTATGAGAGGTGGGCAATACCTTAAGAACTGCAAAGTGTGGGCTTTATTTTAATTTGTACATCTGTATGCGGTGCATTATGGTGTTTCAGTACATGTATATAATGTATATTAAATCAGTAATAAAATCAGGATCGTAATGTAGAAAGCTCTGGAAAAGAAGTCTGTACATGACTGGTTCTCACAACATTTTGTGAGTTTTCTTGCTTTTTGAGGAACTGTTTAGATGTTTAGTGTTTTTTTGAAAGGAGCATAAAATGTTACGCTGAGATAAATGTGTAAAGTAAAAAATGGAGACTTGTTGCACTCTCATCAAGAAGAATATGGTCCTTTTTTCCAGGCTTTACTACTTCAATAATCCTTCATCTGATACTTCAAATGTATTTATGTTGAGTCATTTCTTTCTCTTTTGCTGGTGAACCAGAAGATCACGAAATGATTCTGCAGAGGCAGTAGCATTACGTTCAGTTTCTTTTTTTGTATGTATCAGATAAGAGGCCTGCAAATGGAAGTTGTCCACCTCACATCCTTTGTACGGTGATGGCAATAATGTTGCCTTTTCACCACAGGATTGACATTTATTAGTTCATCAACCTGCTTCCAAAGAACTGAAGGTCTCTGTTCCTGCTACAAGTCACTTTTCATCAATGTTAGATTTTGACAGGCTACTTTTGTTTTTACAAGTATTTCTTCTTTTTAATGTTTAGAAACGTCTACTTTAAAGAGATTTTGGGGACAAGGGCCTGTAAGGACCAAGTGGAAATTAGTGCATATATTTACAGTCAGGATTTCTGATTCTTCATTTAAGAGAGCAAAATAAAATTTTGAGGTTTAGCTCAGTTTAAGCTTCTAAATCATCCTCTCTGAACCAAAGCTATTTTCTAGTTGGTAAAAATTTTGCAGATCTGAAGAATAAAAGTAGCATAAGGGGCTGGCTTCTGGCAAACTTTTAATAGTAGGAGGAGGACCTGGCAGCCGTGGGTGGTCCTCCAGGGTGGTCATCCCCCGGGGACAGAAGATCCCTGGCTGGCTGCCCACCCTCCCTGTGGCTCACTGCCGTGTGTGTGCAGCAGGGCTCTCCATCAGTCACCTCAGCCTGGGCAGGAGGCCTGCTGCACAAATGGGCTGTGGGAGTTTTGCAGTTCTTAAGTATTTGCTTATGTTAACAGGTATGTGTGATAGAGGAAAGTGGAGAAGAGTTAAGGAACTGAGAGCACTAGGAGTGGGCCTGCAACTTTCAGTTCTAGAGAAGCAGCAGCTTGGTCTTGTTTATTTTTTCCAGCTATTTCTGGATTCTGCTTATAATTATTGAAGTTATTTCACAGTATAATTATATTGCTGTTATGCATTTTAACAATGACATATAATTATCAGACATCATATATATATGTAATACTACATATTATTTTCCCATTAAAGTAGCATTGGCTTCCTTTTCCAGAGCAATAATGAAATTTCACAGTATGAAAATGGAAGAAATCAATAAAATTATTCGTGATCTTTGGCGGAGTACCTATCGTGGACAAGGTAATTAACAGTGCATCATAAAAGCTCTAAGGCCCTGCCCTCAGCTCTTCCACATGTGATCTCTCTTCATGCAGACATTACACGGACCCCTTTCTGAGCATCTCTTTGAGATTCTCTTAAAAATGTTTATCTTGGGCCAGGGATTTAGCTCAGTGGTGCCGCCACCTGCCTCAAAAGTGCAAGGACCAGAGTTCGATCCTCGGTAGCAAAAAAAAAAAAAGGTTTAACTTGCAGTGTCTTGTAGAAAAAGAAAATACAAAATTTTCTGTTCTCAAGCTTGACTGGACTTCTATACTCGACTGCATTAGACATCATATTTAGCTGTTGACATTGTCGTTTCTGTTGATAGGAATAACCCAGTGAATAAAAAGCCAGGTGGAGGAAACTACTAGAAAGAGGCTGAGGCTGGGAGTTGGGGACATCAGGTTCCTTCGGGACAGACTGCCGTCTCCTGAACTCCCCAGCCAGAGCTTTCCCCAGGGGACTCCAGCCTCACACATTGCTCCCAGGCTTACTGGTTGAAGTCTGTATGTGACAGAAGGCTACAGAGAGTAGGTTTCTCTAAAATATTCTTCTTTCTGTGTCAGATATTGAATACATAGAAATCCGCTCTGATGCTGATGAGAATGTATCAGCCTCTGATAAAAGGCGGAATTATAATTACCGAGTGGTGATGCTGAAAGGAGATACAGCCTTGGATATGCGAGGACGATGCAGTGCTGGACAAAAGGCAGGTATCTCACAAGGACAGACAGTGCCACAGGGACCCCAGGGCTGCCCTTGGGGGTGGGATGCTCCTTGTAGCACTCTTGATACCATGCCAGGTGAACTGGGTGTAGCCACCCGAGGGTGCCCTGCCCTCCTAATGCCAGCATTCCCTGGGGCTTTGAGCAAATGACCTGAAGCTTCCTGTAGGCCAGGCTAGTGTGGAACAAGGAGCTCAAGATTGTGTATTATTTCACAGACATCCTTGTCAGAGAAAGGCCACTGCTGCCTCAGTTGTAAGGCGTACCACTTAGGAAAAACATAGTTACAGCCAGGCATGGTGGCACAAGTCTGTAATGCCAGCAGTTGGGAAGTTGAAGCAGGATTGCTATGAGTTCAAGACCAACCTGGGCTACATAGAGAGGCCCTGTCTCAAAAAACCAAAAAAAAAGACCAGGCATGGTGGTGCATACCTGTAATCCCAGCACTCGGGAGGCGGATGCAGGAGGATTGCTGCGAGTTCGAGGCCAGACTAAACTACATAGACCCTGTCTCAAAAAAAAAAAAAAAAAATGAACCCAATAACAACAAATCAAAAGGAACATAGTTACAACGATAATACAGCATTCTGTTTTCAGAGAAGTCAAAATGGGAGGGTATTTTTCTGTTAATCATAAGAGTATTAGTATTCTGTCAATCATAAGTTATTAGCAAACTAGATCCTATACCGAGCCAGATGAAGCATTGCAGAGTGAGAGTCCTTGGGAAAGTAGCCCCACGTAGGACTGAGTCCACTCCAGCACCCTAGCTCTGGGCCTGCAGACATCTAGGATGGGGTCTGCCATCAGTGGCCTTGGTCCTCACAGCGCCTGCAACCCCAGCACCACAGACAGGACGCACTTGCTGGGTCAGGCCGGCTGGCTCCACGTAAGGCTCCTAGAGGACAGCCTAGATAGGCCAGAGAGCATGGAGCAGTCAGAACGGGGACGGGAGTTAGGAAGAGAGGCCCTGCATCCTGAGGAACAAGCCTAAGACCTTCGTTACGTACAGGTTCATAGCAAAGCAAATCTGAGCAGATTGTACAGGTTCATGAGCTTTCTTCTTTCAGATTAGATTATACTAGCTATAGACCCTAATTTCATAAAATCTGAAAATCTAGAGGAGGAGGTTCACATTATGAGTTACTTGTATAGTTTGCAACTTTTGCTTAAAGAGCACACCACACATGTCAGCCCAGACAGCTGATACCAATTTAAGGCATCTGCAGATTTCTATCTAAATCATAGAATGCAAAAATGACAAATTTGTGATCTATAATCGGTATCTCTACTTGCTTTGTTGACTTTGTGTTAATTATAAAAGAGTATGAAGTGATCTCCCGATTTAATATAAAAAAGTAGATTTCCTATAGCTACTCTAGGTTGCTAGAATTAATTAGTAATAGTATCTTCGGCATTGGGAGAAAGAACAGACACATGGTTTGGTGGGAGTGGGCCTCCACCTTCCTACCCTGGCTTTTGCTGGGGCCTGAAGGCAGCCGAAGGCTCTACGTGCGAGTAGGTGGTAGTAGTGGGTGGCGGCAGTGGGGCTCAGAGGCAGGAAGGAAGTGCCTTTCTCACAAAGGGGCAGCAGTGCCCCGGCTTCTGCAATCTGCTGGCCTGCCCTTGGGCCTCAAAGAGAAGGTGTGTACTGTACTCTTCTTAAAATCCTCAACTCCTAAAGTCAGCAGGAAAGGGAGTTTATCGTTCACACAAAGTAGTTTATGCTTCTCAGCATAGTTTTACACTGTGAACCTGTGTCCCTTGTATGCTCAGATGCCTTCAGTTAGTTGAGTCTACAGGTTCTGGTATTAGGTTTCTCTTAACCATACCAGTGCCTGGTAGTTCCAGTGACTTGGACGTCCTGCATGTAAGCATAAATAAAACTACACTTCTATACACATCCTGATACTGTGACCCATAATTATTTTTTACCTCTGTCAAAATTATACACATTTCAGGGTGGACTAGAACACAACACCTGGTACATTTTCGGTATTGTAGAATATGGAGGTTTAAAAACAACTCTACCAAAAAAAGTTAGTTTCTGTGAGGCTTGGAGAAATACCATGTGTCTAAATATTCTAATGTCTCATTATCAGAAAATTATAAGGGTTAGGTCATTTTACCCCTTTATTAAAATTATTACAGCTAAATGATAATGCAGCTGTTCCAAGCCTGTGATCTCAGGTTTTGATACAGCTGATATGGTTGTATGTGTGTACATTCTGCATTTCATTCCATAGCAAGTGATGAGCTGAGAATGCAGCTGGCTTGCCTTCCAGGGGGGGCATTTAAGTCTGGTCATGGTGCTGGGCTCTGCCACACACCAGCAGTCCCCCTGCCATCAGTGGCCCGTGACACCCCCCACCTTCCCCTTCTGATGATACCATGGCAGGTCTGTGCCTCATGACTCACTCCTGGCTTCCTCCAGGTGTTGGCCTCCCTCATCATCCGCCTGGCACTGGCTGAAACATTCTGCCTGAACTGTGGCATCCTTGCTTTGGACGAGCCAACGACCAATCTTGACCGAGAAAACATTGAATCCCTTGCACATGCTCTGGTTGAGTAAGTGTCTCATATCTGGGGCATTCGTGATCTTTGTTTAAGAAACATCAAGAGAGTTCTGTGGTGTCACCCTCCTTAGACATTCCTTGTTGGGGAAACCAGGCTCTAGGCTTTGTTGAAATTCTTCAGGTGTTCTTGAAAAGGAACTAGATAGCGAACAGCGGCCCCGACACATCCTGCTCCCTAGTGTGTTCGTAGGGAAAGCCACAGTGAGGGCTCCAGGCCGTTTGGTTTTCCTGTGAACCCCGAACAGGTGTCAGCAGGCCCTACCCAGACATCTGTAGGTGGTGGTAGTGGGTTCAGGACGGTCTGCCCAGCTTTTCACGTGTCAGACAATCATGAGGAATGGCAGAGTCTTATTGAGAAGGCATACTGATGATTAAGTGGAATGTGGAGAGGATAAATTGCACATACTTGTTACCATGCCCGTCTATGTGGGGATGGGATCCAAGCTTGGGCAGCTCTTGCTTATGCACTGTGCTGGCAGAGGAACAGCACTCACCCTGAGGTAGGAAGAGGTTTCTGGCAGCCCTGTTCCAGACAGGCTTGCTAGCAGAGCGGGTGTTTCCTGTCTGCCAGCATGGGTTAGAAGAGGAGAACTGAGCAGCACAGGCTGGCTTTCTCCAGCCACCCCTCATAGTGCTGGGGACCAGCAAGGACGGGCTCCTCGTGCTCTGTAACCACAAGTGCATCCAGCTCCAGGCAAAGGATAAACAAGTGGTTGCTTAAGAGTCTTTTAGGTCTCACTCTTAGAGCCGGTTACCTCAGCATACAAATAACGAGCAAAAATGTCCCCAGTACACCCACTCAGGTCTCCTGTGTGTCACAGCAGTGATGCATCTAGTGACTAGTGGTGGCAGAATTCTAAGTAGACCCAGCTTTTAAGAAGGCAGTGTTATTCCCCTGTTGCCTATCTTTGTTATTTTTAAATTTTTCTTCCAGAGAAAACTAGCAATTTATGAAAAAAATCTAGTCGAAGAAGTCAGACTCCAAAGCCAAGCATCTGAGGCATCCCTAAAACACTTGAGTCCTCTTTCGTAGAACACATTGATCTGGGGAAACTAGCCCAAATTCTTGACATGGTTCTTACAGTCCCTAGGCCAGAGATAGAAGGCAGTACATTCCTACTGCTTAGACCGGAGATGGGACGTCATGGCCGGGCCGGAGACCCAGGCCACCCCAGGCACCCTGCTCCCCACTTCCTCCACAGCAGTCAGAGCCCTGACGTACACAGCACATCTGACAAGGTTTGTGCTATCTTCCAAAACGTACACTCTATAGTAATGAAGCCTTCTAAATACGTTTCAGGATAATAAAAAGTCGCTCACAGCAGCGTAACTTCCAGCTTCTGATAATCACTCACGATGAAGATTTTGTGGAGCTCCTGGGACGTTCTGAATATGTGGAAAAATTCTACAGAATTAAGAAGAACATCGATCAGTGTTCAGAGATTGTGAGATGCAGTGTTACCTCCCTGGGATCCTACGTTCATTAGCTCCTTGCTCCTAGTATCAGCTGAACCTACTGGTAATACATTGTTTAAAAGGAACCTTCTGTCAGGATGTTTGAGAGGTTCTAAGGTGATGGAAATTGTTTTACCTGAGATCTGACTGATCCCCTGTATCTCGTCCCCTGTGAGCAGCCTGCAGGACTCAGCAGCAGCACAGCTAGACCTGGCCCCTCTGCTTCCGAGTCCAGGAGTGTGTGGCTCTTCAGCAGAGGCTCCCTGCTCTAACCCCTGCTAAATAGTGTATCTGAATGCATTTCCTTGCATGTGGGTTTTTTTTTTTGGTACCGGGGATCAAACTCGGGTCCTTGCACTTGGGAGGCAGGCGGTGGAATCACTGAGCTAAATCCCCAGCCCCTTAAATTTGCAAAGAGGTGGTTTTTTTGGTACCGGGGATCGAACTCAGGTACTTCTGCTTGCAAGGCAAGCAACGGAACCACTAAGCTAAATCCCTGGCCCTCCTTGCATGTGTTTAAAGACCTGAGTTATCAGTGATCATTAATGTCTGGCCCCGATTTAACCTTATAAATCCCTGCAAGTGACCGCTCTGTCTTGGCTTTGGCTTTATCACCTAAAATCCGAAGTAGCTGAACGGGAGTCTCAAGGTTTGATGGGAATCTTAAATAATCATCTAATGAACCCTCACCATCTTTCCTCCCCACACATCTCTACTGGTCATCCCAACTCAAGGCTCAGAGTGGGGAAAGGAAATTGCCCACTCGAAGCCCTGTCCATCTTCTGTCTCCCGCGAATCGGCTCAGCCTCACCCTCAATTCCAGCTGCTCTACAAGGGCAGGTGCTGGTGTGGAAGCTGAGCCAGGCCCCCCTCGCAGTGCTCCAGTCGACCTGGAAGAGCAGGCCTCTCCTTTTCGCTCCAGACACCAATTCAGATGAAGCCCAGGCAACAATTTGCCCTGAAATTGTTGGCTAGCCTCTTGCACGCATTCTATACAAGGAACAATCAAGTCATCCACTTTTGAGTTCCACTGTGGAGTTTTGTCATTCAAAGTGAGTCACCCTGGCTCAGTTTCAGTGTCTAAACAGCTTCTCCCAGCTAGAGTCTGGAAGAGGATCATGCCCCTAGGGCGTAGGTATGTATGCAGGGCTCAATAGTGGCCTGCAGTGATACAGAGGTCCTCATTCCTGGACCTGTCAATGTTACTTTATACAGCAAAGGGGACTCTGAAGACGTGATAAAGCTGTGGATCTTGAGATACAAAGATTACCCTAGTGGGTCCTAAAGGTAATCATTAATACCCCCAATGACAGTGGTGGATGTTGGGGTGAGGAGTGGGTGCAGACTGGTGTGATCACATTGATGACAGAGGAAGGGGCCACAAGCCAAGGGATATGGGCAACCAGAAATGAAAAAGCTGAAGCAGCAATTTCCCCTCAGCCTGTAGGAGGAGCCAGCCCTGCTGACACCTAGATTTGAGCTCACTGATAACGATTTTGGACTTCAGGTCTCCAGCACATTAAGAAAATAAATTTGTGTTAAACTGCTGCATTTATGTTAATTTATTACAGCAGCACTAAGAAACATAGTATCCTTTGTGTCTAATCAGTTTCTCTGCATCTAAAATAGTACTAGTTATGCACTGTCCTTGAGAGCTGAGAAGGGTTGCTGACTCAGCTCATGCTGTGTTCAGCAGTTCACATGAAGAAGCCTGGTTGCAAATGGGGTTCCAGGGGCTGCCCCCAGGCCCATTTGGGGTGGGCCAAGTGTAGGACCACCACTCCAGCTACCTGGTCTTGTGTGCTCCAAGGCCACTCTCATGATAATGTCCAGTCATGCTAGTTAGCTTTGACAACCTAAAGTTACACTTCATTGGACTCACATAATCCTGACTACAAAGATACCATGAGGAACAAAGAGCAGACCATTCGCATTGAGGGCACAGGTCCCCGAAGAGCTACTCAAGTCTAGTCATATATTAAAGCAAATACAACAGGGAATGTGTGTTTATCCCAAGAATGCAAGAATGTTACAGAAAATGATAAATCATCTCCAACAATGAAGCCAGAGTCGGGGGGGGGGTAAATTTAGATACCTAACAGTATTTCCTAAATATTAGTTGTCATCAACCCAGTCAATAACAAATTATTTTTCATTAAGTATTAAAATCAGGTACCTTCTATTAATGTTTCTGAAAGCTGTAGTTATTGCAATAAGGAATGACAAGGCCAGTACCAAATAAATACAGGTAGTGTAACAAAATTATGATGCGGGCTGGAGGGTTAGCTCAGTGGCACTAGTGCCTGCCTGGCAAGCACAAGGTCCTGAATTCGATCCCCGGTTCCACAAAAAAAAAAAAAAAAGTATGATTTATAAAGGAAAGGCTTCCCAGTTTCAGATCTCTCCCATGCCACCTACCACACACACAGATGCAGCTCGCTCCACAGCCCTTTTGAGAGAGAGCCCCTTCACTTGCAGAACCTTTACATTTGGGGGTTTGGAAGCAGGGTAGTGCCCTTCTTGCTCCTAGACTGGTCTCCATTAATACGCCTCCGGCACACCTGAAATGAACCTGCATCGCAGCATGGAAGAAGGAAACAGGCTGCCTGTGCTCAAGGCTCAGCACCACTGCCCACTGCCCGAGAGACCTGGAACAAATAAATGTCAGTGGTACCTTGGTTCAGGAATGCTTTTATTTGTAAACAGTTTGGTTCACAAGCAGAGCATATGGCAAAACTTTGTTTTGTTTGCAAACTCTGCATCAGGTGACAGATTACCATGGCCATCTTTCAAAATCATAGAACAAATTTTAAGTTCATGAGCTGAGGTACCACTGTAGTTACCTTCTTTCACTTGTGTCTCCGTATCTGTAACAGTGGGTAAAATGAACTTGTCCTATAGTATTGTTCCAAAGATTAAATAGCTTAATATTTATAAAATGCTTACAACTACTTGCCACATGGTAAACACCAAGCGTTTGTTCAAGAAGAACCTCTTATCTTCACTTTACTATTTCTTGTCGCAGTAAATTTAGTCCCCACCCCGGTCACTCCATGTAATCTTTGAAGATTTTAGCTGCCCATTCTCTGCCACTCTCTCCAAAGTAATTTCCTACTCACTGGTGATTTCAGTATCTGTGTGATGATCAAATGCAACTCCCTGCCCTGAGCTCCTTGAGCTCCGGTGAGAAGACGCTGATACCTGTGTTCTTGCTGTGAGTCCCTGTCCTTTGAATAACAGGCACTGCGACTCCTTAACGCCTGCCTTTCCCCATAATCCCTTAGCCTCTTGACACCACTCCCAGGAATTCTTTGATCCCTCCAAGATGTCAGACCATTGATTCTACCTTTCCCTCATGCCTTCACTTGCCCCAGCTTTAATTTTAGTGCATTATTGGATCATCTCCAGCTGCATTGTCTTTCTTCCATCCTCTCTACTGGCTACTTCCATCCCTGGGTGAGGCCACCGCTCCCCTCTCTGAAGGCCACTTCCTCTGCTGTGTCCTCGCTTCCCTGACCTCTTGCTGTTACTGTACTGCAGTGCTCAGATTGTCTGCCCTTTTATCTCATGACCTCATCCAGACTTGGAGCTTTCCAGTTACTCCCTTAGTTTGGGTTCTCCCAGAAAAGAGCCTGGAGCAGTGCTTCAAGTGAAAGCAGTCAATGGGAGGTTGGGGGAATTGTAAGAGAAAGAAGGTGACCAACTGGTAAGCCAGCTACCACGGTGGACAACTGCAGCTTAATCTCACAAGAGACTGCGATATTTGGTAAAATACACCCGTCAACATTATCTTGCCTGCGGGGCACAAGTATGGGCTATTCATACACCAACCTCCAGTTACTAAGGGACATTCCAGCCTGGTTGAGTTGCTGCCTGGCTGTGCCGGCAGAGGTGCCTCCCACAGTTTAAAAACAAGCCAAAGAAGCTTTTGGACAGGTACAGATAGTGGCATCGGCTGGTCAGTGCCAAAAGCATGGGCAGTTCCTAGGATACAGGCAAGGCATGAGACCTGCAACAAGCACCAGTATGCTGATGACAAACGCTTGTCTTCAGGCCAGATCCCTCCCAAGTCCCGACTCCCACCCAGCGACCTGTGGGCCGCTGGACATCCATATGCTCTTGAGTGACACCCAAAACAGGATGACCCAAAACAATCTTCCCCACCAAGCATGTCCCACAGGCTTTCAGTTAATGGCAACTCAATCTAGCAACCACTTAAGCAAAAAAATATTGGCAATATCCTTGATTCGCCTGTTTACCACACCCCCAATCCATCAGTTAACACCGTGAGTTCAACTTTCAAAATGGTTCCAGAATCTGACCGTGCCTCACAAACAAGCCACACTGCTGAAGTCGGAGCTACTACCATCTCTACCCTAACTCCTCTCACTGACTTAGTCCTGCTCCCGCTGTCTGTTCTCAACACAGCAGCCAGAGAGCTTTTTAAAAGGTACATCAAGTAAACGTGGTTTTTCTCAGGGGTATGGGAAACAGCTCTGAAACTTATAATACAGGGGCTCATTGATATGCAGTGGAGTTGTCACACCAAACCCATTGTAAGCTGAACATCAAGGTCAAAAACATTGAATAGACTGAATCTACCAAATACCATAGCAACACGGTCCCTCAAATAGAGTGTCAGTTATTTTCCCTCAAGACCACGGGGCTGGCTGGGTCACTGCTTCTGCCCAGCATCACGGAACAGTGCCTCCTAGCACTAGTCTGGGAAACGTTCAGAATTTAAACCACAGTTTCTATTAAGTGCATGTTGCTTTCACACTGTCATAGTTCAAAATTAAACCACAATCATAAATGGATCTATGAAATACAATAAAGACAGTTTATTTCTCTAAAAATCTTTATTACAGTAAAAGACACAATGCCATTAATTCTCAAAATACTCTGCCTCGCTTTGAACCCACATCCCATCCCTCTTGCCACTTTCTGAGGTAGGTCTGGAAGCACTCCTTCATGGGTGTTTTAAGTTGCACTGTTGTGGCTACTTTGATTGTTGTGGCCACTCATGAATTGAAACATTTACCTTCCATGGTCCTTTTTTCTCTGGGGAGCAGCCAGAAGTTGCGCAGTGCCAGATCAATTGAGTGAGGTAGATGAAGACACATCATGTTTTGGTTTGTTGGGTTTTTGGGGGGTTTTTTTGGTACCAGGGACCAAACTCGGGTCCTTGGGCTTGCACAGCAGGCGGCGAAACCACTGAGCTAAATCCCCAGCCCCACATCATGTTTTTATGAGCTGTCTTTCCATTGAATGATACTTAGCAGCAGCATTTATCATATTTTTATCATGCCTTATAAAGGTATGAAAGAGGACATCCAGAACTGCTTTACAAAGGGATGAGAATGGTGAGCTAAGTGTATTTGAAGTGAGGGGAAGATTTTGAGGAGAGTTGATGGCAGTGTATCTCTTATTGTAATGTTTTTAAAACTTAAACATTCACTGTATTTTGATCACTCTTGTATACACTAAAATACATAAATATATTGTAGATCATGAGAAATAAGTTTTCTAAGTAGACCTATAACAAGGTATTAAATAGTAATTAAAAAACAAAACACAAAATTCCTACAAAGCAAACCCCAGGCCCAGTGGTATGTATCAGATACTTAATAATATCAACACTTTTCAGACGCCTCCAGAAATAGAAAAGGAGGGAATACTACCCAACTCCTTCTGCAAGGTCAACATTACACTGATAACACCAGACATGATACCACAGGAAAGGAAACCATAGAGCAAATATCTCATGAAAATAGATGCTAGCAAAATAATACCAAACCTAGTCCACCAATACATAAAGTACAGATCACAATAGAAAATGTTGGTAACCTGGGCTGGATCAAAATTTAAAACTTCTGTGCATCAAAGGACCCAAAGTAAGGCAGTTGCAGAAAGGAGGAAAATAATTTGCAGATCATAGTGTATCCAATGAGGAGTCAATATGCAGAATATGTAAAGAACTCTTACAATCCAAGAATATTTTAAAATTTATTTGGGCAGTGTGTTTCAATAAGCATATCATCAAAGAAGATACACAGATGACCAAAAGCAGGAGAGGATGCTCAGCATCAGTAACCACCATAGAAATGCAAATCAACCACAATGAAATATCACCTCGCACCCATTAGAATATCACCAAAAAGAGAAAAAAAGGAAGTAGGGAGGAAAGAGAGGGAAAGAAAAGGAGAAAGAAGTGTTGGTGAGGGTATGGAGAACTGGAATCTTCATGTACTGTTAGTAGAATGTAAAATGGTGTCACTGCTGTGTGGTTCCTCAAAAATGTAGGACGTTTCTGATATAATTCCTTATAATAAAATCACTACAGGAGGGGCCAGGATTTAGCTCAGTGGTTCTGGCACCTGCCATGCAAATGCAAGGTCCAGAGTTCGATCCCAGGTACCAAAGAAAAAACAAAAAAACAAAAATTACTACAGGAATCATCAATTCCATTCTGGGTGTGTATCTAAAAAGAATTTTAGAAACAACATAAAGACAGGGGTTTCAGTTCAAAAGAATTAAAACCAGGGTCTGGAAGATAAACATGCACACCCTTACTGCCAGCGTTATTCACAGTAGCCAAGAGACAGAAGCAGCCCAGTATCTATAGATAGATGAGTGGATAAAATGTAGCATTCATGCAATGGAATATTACCCTTAAAAACGGAAGGAAATTGTAACATACTACAATGTGGAGGAACCATGAGGATATTAAGCTATGAAATAAGCTTAATAATAGTAAAGGACAAATATTGTATGATCTCATGTATATGAAGAAGCCAGAGTAGCCAAATTCATACAGACCAAAGTAAAAAGCTATTCACGAGGGGCTGGGGATGAGGTGTTTGTTTCTTTTTTGTGTGTGTGTACTGGGAATCAAACTCGGGACCTTGTGCTTGTGAGGCAGGTGGCCGAACCACTGAGCTAAATCCCCGGCCCTAGTGGGTGAGGATTTTTAATGGCACAGTTTCTGTTTTGCAAGATGAAGAGCTCTGGAGATTAGTTGCACAACAACATGAGTGTACTTAATCATGACCTGTACCCTAAATGATTTAAGATGGTAAATTTTATGTGTATTTTACCACAATTTAAATAAAAATTTTAAATGAAATACATAGACATTGAAATATAGCTATGTACCTGTGTGTAGGTTAGTATGTGTACATGGATTACTATGTCCACTGAGAGGGCTGAAATGGGAAGCCATCCTGGTAATGAGGAGCACATTTTCTGCCCTGATCTTGATTTTAAAATACCCTCTTTAAGGAAGCCCGTCTCCCTGGAGAAGTAGGCGATTCTAGGGTGCAGGCAAGGAAAATATAAAAAGAGCCTAAACACCTTGTACCAGAAACTAAGAAAAACAAATTTTTAAAAGAGGGTTTGTTAGGGCCAGGGATTTAGCTCAGTGGTTCCATCACCTGCCTCGCGAGCCCAAGGACTCGAGTTCGATCCCCAGTACCAAAAAATAAATAAATAAATAAGAGGGTTTGTTGGGCCGGGGATTTAGCTCAGTGGCACCACGCCTGCCTTGCAAGTGCAAGGTCCTGCATTTGATCACCGGTACAAAAACAAAACCCCGCCAAAAACCACAGAACCTAACCTGAAATAACTCCTAATGACCAAGGTGGAACAATTTTAGAAACAATATACAGTTGTCTTAGTT